GCAGAGGTCCATCAGTGGCTATTAGCCACAAGGTATAGATAGGGACTCTGGGGCAAGTGATGCTCTGTCATCTTGGTGCTTGGGGGGGGTCAACAGTGGGAGGGCTTCTAATGTCCTGGCCCCACTGGTGGACCTCCTGATGGCGGAGGAGGATATTGGATTTATACCCCGCTCTTCACTCGGAGTCTCAGAGCGGCTTACAAACTCTTTTCCCTTCCCCTCCCCACCACAGACACCCTGTGAAGTAGGTGGGGCTGAGAGAGCTCTTGACAGAAACTGCTCTTTTTCAAGGACAGCTCTTATCAGAGCTACGGATTGCCCAAGGTCATCCAGCAGGTGCGAGTGGAGGAGTGGGGGAATCAAACCCGGTTCTCCCAGATTAGAGTCCGCACACTTAACCACTACGCCAAACTGGCTCTCATATCTGGTCACTGTATCTCCAAAAGGACATCACAGATCTGGGAAAAGGACAGAGGAGGGCGACCAAGATGATGAGGGGGTTGGAGGCACCTTCCCTATAAGGAAAGGCTGAAGAGTCTCTGGGACTTTTCGGTTTAGAAAAGGGATGATTAATGGGAGGACATAATAGAGGTTGATAAACTTATGCACAGGGTGGAAAGAGCTGAGAAAGAGAAATTTCTCTCCTGCTGCAGAAATACTAGAACTCGAGGCAGGGCATCCCATGAAGTTGATGGGCAGTAGGTTCTGGACGGGGAAAAGGAAATACTACTTTACACAGCGAGCGATCTAAATTGTGGGATTCGCTGCCAGAGGATGTAGTGATGGCCCGAGGAATAGACGAATTTAAAAGGGGATTACGTGGATTCATGGAGGAATTCCAGAGTTGCTGCGCAGGAGAAGGCAATGGCAAATCTCCTCTGTTTTTCTCTTGCCTTGAAACCTCTACGGGGTTGCCATATGTCATATCCCAGCTTATATAGCAGCAATCTTTTTCTTTAAAAAATCTTTACTGGGCAGAGGAAAGGGGGATGAGGGTGTGTGGCCAGGGGGACCATAGAGGCACAGTGAGCAGCTGCCCAGAGCAGCCCCCCTTCAAGGGATTCCCCTCCCACCGGGAACCCAAAAAATCTTTTTTCGAGAAGTCTTAGCTTTTCTCCTTGATGGCCACTAGGTGGCACTCCTTCAATAGTTTTCATAAACCCTTTTCCATTGTGCTTGGACTCTTTGCCAGCTTTCCGCAATATCAGCTGGTATGGCCACTGAGGCAAACTAGGCAGCTATTTGTTAATGTATACATTTGTTTGTTTGTTCCTCGTCCCACCTGCAAGGATCTTGGGGTGGTGTACACGGTGTTCTCTTCTCCCATTCTATCCTCACAACAACCCTGCAAGGTTGGCTGGGCAGAAAGAAAATTTAAGGTTCAAGGTCACGGACTGAGGGCAGATTTGAATGTGGGTCTTCCCAGGCCCTAATTCAGCCATAGCATCTGTGCGGAGTCCAGTAGGCGAACATGATGGTTGCCATTTTGAGGAGGGGAGGTGGCTCAGTCACAGAAGAAGAAGAGATTGGATTTATACCCCACCCTTCACTACCCAAAGGAGTCTCAGAGCGGCTGACAATCTCCTTTCCCTGTCCCTCCCCACAACAGACACCCTGTGAGGTAGGTGGGGCTGAGAGAGCTCTTTCGAGAAGTGCCCTTGAGAGAACACCTCTGAGAGAACTTGTGACTGACCCAAGGTCACACCAGCAGCTGTATGTAGAGGAGTGGGGAATCAAACCCGGTTCTCCCAGATTAGAGTCCATTCCACTAACCACTACTAACCCCACTGAAGTCCCTCCCTGTCCCAAACCCCAGGCTCCACCTTCTCAAATCTCCAGGAACTTCCCAGCCCAGTTTTGGCAAACCTAGGCCCAGGTCATATGGGCCAGATAACGTGGGTGGGGGAGGCATGGCTCTTTGCACTGGCACAATTAGACCTGCCAGAACGCAATCAGACGTGATGGCGGCACACCGCGGTTTCGTCCATCAGCGCAAGCGCGTCAAGGAGGACAGCCGGGGGGGGAAAGTCGTGCGCCGGTGCGATCACACGGAATGATTCCGTCGGCAGCCTGTGGCAAACCATTTGCTAGTACATTTGTTGAGATACTTTTTAAACGTGCAGCTTTGGCGGCACGCCATGGGTTGGCCACGGATGCGCTACGCTTGCCAGATGTTGCGGTGTGATCGCACACCGAAAATCCGCCCAGCATTCGTGGCTCTCCCGCGGCAAATTCGGCATGTGAACGGGGCCCTAGACAGCTTTGAAGTTTGGGACATGGTATGCATGGAGAGTACATAAGAACATAAGAGACGCCAATGTTGGATCAGGCCAAAGGCCCATCCAGTCCAACACTCTGTGTCACACAGTGGCCAAAAAGACCAGGTGCCCTCAGGAGGTCCACCAGCAGGGACAGAACTCCAGAAGCCCTCCCACTGTGCCCCCCCCGAGCACCAAGAAGACAGAACATCACTGCCCCAGACAGAGTGTTCCTTCCATACCTTACAGCTAATAGCCCAACCCTACCATGTTCACCGTCTCAGCAGCACACCTTCCACAGCTCCTTGTTCTCCCCCCCCCCAAAAAAATAAAACCCAGCCATTTTCTCCAGGGGAATTGATCTCTGTAGTCTGAAGATCAGGCATGGTTCTGGGAGGATTCCAGGACCCACGGAGATCGGCGACCCTAGGGCACACTCAGATTTGATCATATTTATTCAGCCCAAGGGACTAGAAACGTCCTTCCTTCCTTCCTTCCTTCCTTCCTTCCTTCCTTCCTTCCTTCCCTCACTCCCTCCTTTCTTTTTCTTTCTAAACTGGAGGTGGTCAGGAAGCTGGATTTGTGGTCGATACCACCATTTGTGTGGAGCTGCGGTGGCTCAAGTGGTTAAGACGCTGAACTGCAGTCTGTGGAAGGTCAGTAGTTCAGCAGTTCGAGACCCGGGTGCCGCATGACGGAGTGAGCTCCCGTCTCTAGTTCCAGCTCCTGCCAACCTAGCAGTTCGAAAGCAAGATATTGCAAGTAGATAAATAGGTACCACTTCGGTGGGAAGGTAACAGCGTTCTGTGCACCTTGGTGTTTAGTCATGCCGGCTACATGACTACGGAAACGTCTTCGGACAGCGCTGGCTCTTCGGCTTTGAAACGGAGATGAGCACTGCAACCCTAGAGTCGGATTCGACTGGCTTTCGAGCAAGGGAACCTTTACCTTACCACCATTTGTATCACTGTGCCACTGTCTCCTTCGTCAATCTTTCCTCCTCCTACATTTCCTTGTTTTCAGGAGAGAAAAAACAAGTCAACATGAATCACTGTGGTCAGGATTAGATCTCCCACCATTTCCTTCTTCATCTGTGAGCAGAGTTTCCCCGATCAGATATTCCCCGAAGTCATCGGCTTGGGTGTCATAGCAAAAAAACAACAACCCAGACATCACTTTCTTGAAACAATTCTCATTGGGCTTCCTTAGATGGCAGCTGCTGGAAACAGCTCCCTCCCCTCCTCAAACCCCGCCCTCCTCAGCCTCCACCCCCAAATTCTTTAGGTATTTCCTAACCCAGAGCTGGCAAGCCTAGATGTGAACCATGCTGGGTGGTCTTCCTAAGACGTGGCATCGAGGGATCCCCCTAATCTTCTGAAGCCGCTTGGTGCCCTTTCTGGTCCAAGGGGCAGGGCCAGATTCCAGGAGAACAGAAGAACGGAAGAGAAGCCAGTGTTGGATCAGGCCAATGGCCCATCCAGTCCAACACTCTGTGTCACACAGTGGCCAAAAATATCAGGGGCCATCAGGAGGTCCAGCAGTGGGGCCAGGACTCTAGAAGCTCTCCCACTGTTGCCCCCCCAAGCACCAAGAAGACAGAGCATCGCTTGCCCACCAGTTTGGTGTAGTGGTTAAGTGTGCGGACTCCAATCTGGGAGAACCGGGTTTGATTCCCCACTCCTCCACTTGCACCTGCTGATGTGACCTTGGGTCAGTCACAAGCTCTGGCACAGCTGTCCTTGAAAAAGAGCAGTTTGTGCCAGAGTTCTCTCAGCCCCACCCACCTCACAGGGTGTCTGTTGTGGGGAGGGGAAGGGAAAGGAGTTTGTAAGCCGCTCTGAGACTCCAAGTGAAGGGCGGGTTATAAATCCAATCTCTTCTTCTTCTTCTTCTTGCCCCAGACCAAGAGTTCCTATCTGTACCTTGTGGCTCATAGCCACTGATGGACCTCTGCTCCATATGCTTATCTAATTCCCTCTTGAAGCCGTCCGTGCTTGTAGCTGCCACCACCTCCTGTGGCAGTGAATTCCATGTATCAATCACTCTTTGGGTGAAGAGGTACTTCCTTTTATCCATTCTAACCCAAATGCTCAGCAATTGAGTGCCCACGAGTTCTTATATTGTGAGAAAGGGAGAAAAGGACTTCTTTCTTGACCTGCTCTATCCCATACACAATCTTGTAAACCTCGATCATGTCACCCCTCAGCCATTGTTTCTCCAAGCTAAAGAGCCCCAAGCGCTTTAACCTTTCTTCATAGGGAAAGTGTCCCAACCCTTTTATCGTTCTAGTTGCCCTTTTCTGCACTTTCCCCAGTGCTATAATATCCTTTCAGAGGTCCGGTGGCCAGAATTGCACACAGTACTCCAAATGAGGTTGCACCATCGATTTATACAGGGGCATTATGATACTGAGCCACTGGCCCCCAGACATCAGCTATGTCAAAATATCCAGCCCAACCGGCTTGACAACTCCCGCATCTCTCTGCAGGGTGTATCTTACCCCGTGAGTAACCCTTGTGTAAAGGGCAGATCCGGGCCTTCTGCAGCTCCGGTTTCAAGGCGGAGCTGCCGGCCAATCTACGGGTACTTCGAAATCACTTCCCTGAATAACAGGAATTTAAAAAAACCCAGCAGCAGTGCTTTTTGGGTGGCGTATGGAAATCATCTCTGGCCGTGCTGCGTTTGACTCGCGATCCTTTTCCCGGCAGAGGGAGCCTGCGATGAAAGACTGTGTTGCTTTTCTCCAGGGGAAAAGCCGGCGCTTCTTTCAGAAGTGAAACTGTACAGATTCAGAGCCGAGTCCTCTCTGGTTCGCCCCAGCCGACGTTTCGTCCTCATCTCTGGTTCGCCCCAGCCGAACTTTCAGGAGACACTCGAGGACCATAGAACGGGAAGCCCAGAAAGACCTCAGTAGCCCCCAGATGTGAGTAACCCAGGGTCGCCAGCTCTAAGTCAGGAAACACCGGGAGGTTTTGGGCGCTGGACCCTGGGGAGGGTGGGGTTTGAGGAAGGGAGGGACTTCGTTGGTATATGATGACAGAGTCCACCCTCCAAAGCAGCTGTTTTCTCCAGGGGAACTGATCTTGGTTCTCCAAACTAGGGACTCCAGCCTCCAGGTGGGACCTGGGGATCCCCTGGAATCTCATCTCCATCCTGCAGAGGTCAGTTCCCCTGGAGAAAAGGGATGCTTTGGAGGGTGGACTCTATGGCATCGTACCCCACTGAGGTCCTTGTCCTCCCTAGGCTCCACCCCTCCAAAATCTCCAGGAATTTCCCAACCTGGATTTGGCAACCCTACCCCCTCATCCTCTGCCGGTGTCCCGGGGGGACCTGACAACCCTAAGATCAACTGTAATAGCTCCAGGAATTTCCCAGCCCAGAGTTGGCAACTCTAGATCCGCAGGAGAAAATGGCTGCTTTGGAGGTTGGGCGGCATGACATCACAGCCCTGATGCGCTCCCCCCCCCACCCTCCACGCTGCCTTTTTCTCCAGGGAACCGACCTCTGTCATTCTGGCCATTTGGCAACCCTAGTCTCCCCGGATGGCTGGCCTGGCCAGAACTGCTGCCAGCAACCCATGTTCCCTCTTCCCTAACCCGTCCCTCTCTCCTCTCACAGGAACTCGCCTCCTCCGCTCTGATTGGTCCACCCGAGAGCAATGGCGCTGCTCATCCACTTCCTGGCCTGCCTCTTTGGGACAGGGTCTTGGATGGCCATCAACGGGGTCTGGGTAGAGCTCCCCCTGCTGGTGAATGAGCTCCCCGAGGGCTGGTACCTCCCCTCCTACCTGATCATCCTTATCCAGCTAGCCAACGTCGGGCCGCTCTTCGTCACCCTGATGCACAAATGGAAGCCCCGCCTGCTGAGCGAGGTGTCCGTCATCTGCGCCCTGGTCTCCATGGGGACCGTGGCCTGCCTCCTGTTGGCCTTCCTGTGGGACCGCACCACGTCTGTGGCCGGGAGCCAGCACAGCACGGCGTTCTTTGTCCTCACCTTCGTCCTGTCCCTGGTGGACTGCACCTCTTCCGTCACCTTTCTGCCCTTCATGATGCGCCTCCACCCTCGGTACGTCCCCACCTTTTTCGTCGGCGAGGGCCTCAGCGGCCTGATCCCTGCCCTCTTTGCTTTGGCCCAGGGCTCAGGGATTTCGAGGTGCGTCAACGTAACGATACCGCAGAACGACACGGCGGCCAACGCGACCCTCGGCAACATGACTGTGGCAGGCGTCGACTCCCATATGAAGACCCAACATTCCCCCGCCAACTTCTCCAGCCTCGTCTTCTTCCTCATCCTCTCGGCCATGATGTTCTCCTGCCTCGTGGCTTTCTTCTTCCTCCACCGGCTCCCCAAGGCGTGGGATCTCTCCATGCAGAGCCTCTGCGCCAGCAACGTCACCCTCACCGCGGTCCAGAAAATCCCCGCAGACGGACGAGGACCCGCGGAGTCAGGGGGCATCGCAAACTGTCCTGCAGATGGACCAATGGCAACTTCCGCCAAGGGTGTGGATGGTGCAGATCCGGAGAAGGTCACTTATTCTTGGGCCAAGTTCGCCTTCATCTATTTCCTCGTCGCCGGGGTGAACGCGCTGACCAACGGCGTGCTGCCCTCGGTGCAAAGCTACTCCTGTTTGCCGTACAGTAACGTGGCTTACCACCTAGCGGCGACGCTTAGCTCCGTGGCCAATCCGCTTGCGTGCACCATGGCGACCTTTCTGCCTAGCAGGTATCTGCCTTCCCCAATGAGGCATTTTTCATGATCTTTGGGAGTGTCTCTTCTGTTCCCTGTCCTGGATGGCCCCGGCTGGCCCTGTCTCATAAGAACTTGGAGATAAAGCAGGGCTGGCCCTGGTTAGTACTTGGATGGGAGACCTCCAAGGAAGTCGAGGGTTGCTACGCAGAGGCAGGTGAGGGCACACCACTTCTGTTCATCTGCCCTGTCCTGGATGGCCCAGCCCAGCCCAGCCTCGTCAGATCTTGGAAGCTAAGCAGGCCCTGGTTAGAACTTGGATGGGAGTCCACCAAGGAAGTCCAGGGTGGCTGCGCAGAGGCAGGCAATGGGAAACCACCTCTGTCTTTTGCCCCAGCCCAGATAGCCCAGGCTAGCCGAATCTCGTCAGATCTCGGAAGCTAAGCAGGGTCGGCCCTGGTTAGTACTTCGATGGGAGACCACCAAGGAAGCCCAGGGTTGCTATGCAGAGGCAGGCAAGGGCAAACCACTTCTGTTCATCTGTCCTGTCCTGGATGGCCCAGACTGGCTCTGTTTCATCAGATCTCGGAAGCTAAGCAGGGTCGGCCCTGGTTAGAACTTGGATGGGAGACCACCAGGGAAGACCATGGTTGCTACGCAGAGGCAGGCAAGGGCAAACCACTTCTGTTCATCTGTCCTGTCCTGGATGGCCCAGCCCAGCCTCGTCAGATTTCAGAAGCTAAGCAGGGCCGGCCCTGGTTAGAACTTGGATGGGAGACCACCAAGGAAGTCCAGGGTGGCTACGCAGAGGCAGGCAAGGGCAGACAACCTTTATTCATCTGTCCTGTCCTGGATGGGCCAGGCTAGCTCGATCTTGTCAGAGCTTGAAAGCTAAGCAGGGTCGGCCCTGGTTAGAACTTGGATGGGAGACAACCAAGGAAGCCCATGGTTGCTACGCAGAGGCAGGTGAGGGCAAACCCACCTCTGCTCATCTGCCCTGTCCTGGATGGCCCAGCCCAGTCTCGTCAGATCTCGGAAGCTAAGCAGGGTCGGCCCTGGTTAGTACTTGGATGGGAGACCACCAGGGACTAACAGGGTCATTTCACAGAGACAGGCAATGGCAAAGCCACCTCTGACGACCTCTCGCCTTGAAAACCTCACCAGGCGTTGCCATAAGTCAGCTCCGACTTGATGGTACTTCCCCCTGCCATGTGCTTTATGTATTTAGATGGTCTCGATCAGGGCTATTTTTGGGCAGGAACGCACAGGAACGGAGTTCCGGCTGGCTCCCAAGTTGGCCACGCCCAGCAGCAACTCATTAGCATAATAGGCCACACCCAACAGCAGAAACTCATTCGGATTGGCTACATTAGGGGTGTGTGGCCTAACATGCAAAGGAGTCCCTGCTACAAAAAAGGCCCAGGGTTTTGACAACAAACAGAGTAAACAGAATAAGAAGGGAAAGGTGGGTGTGG